ATGGGTTAAATGCAGAGCACTAATTCCAAGTATGGGTCACCATACTTGGCCACATGTCACTTCACTCACTTTTGTCACTTGTATTTTCTGTTCTGATAACTAATGGGGAAAAAAAGTCTGTTCCTCGATTAAACTACTTCATACCAGTTCTCACGGATGTATATGAGCCTCTGTTTGACTTGCTGCCTCGCTGCCGTATGAGGCAATGACTTTGCAGGCAGCGTTTTTGCATGAAGGCACCTAATGAAACTGATTTTGGACAGGCTTCTGAGGCAGTGTAACGGTTTAATGATCTACAACAAAATATAACGAGTTTTTGTGATAACTAAACGAATATTTAATTACTATGATTTCTCGCTAGACATAACATCAAAAGTGCAAAAAGTTAATCAGAAATATACATTTACACACACTAACCACCAAACGCAACTTTCAGGCGCCATCTTTATTTTTTAGCTCAACCGTCACGGAATGGAACGCACAGGATTGTGGGATATCAAAGGCAGCGAAGGATACATCTATGCTGCCTTCAAAATTCGATCAGAAGAAGGTACCTCTGGAGACAGGAAGTAAAGCAGAATTTGGATTCGGACGTGCCTTGATGCTTTCCTGCCTTGGAATGCTGCCTCCAAAGGCAGCATTTTAATGTTTTCGGATGCAGCGGTTGTCGTTTAAAATGCTCAGAACACAGTCGATTTCACATTAAAAAGCTTTAACAACGTGACGAAATGTAAATTAACTTAAGTTGGATATTGTTATGTCTTGATAAACATAGCAAATGACGTGATCAAAACGGTGGGTCTGGAGAAGATAAGTTTTTTCTTAGATGAACTTTTTATCACCTTTATGTTAATATAAACAGACTTGTTGAAGAGATATGTTGTAAGGTTACTTGGTATAGAATTAAATGTAACATCTTAAATTAAATTTATTTAAATTGGTTAGGTAGGCTATTGTTTTTACTGCCTACATGTTTTTTCCGATAAGGTCTGGTTTTGTTACTATTATATAAAACAAATAATGTAAAGGCAAACAAAAAATAACCAGTAGGACTTAACTGTTTTGCAACAAATACTGAGCATGCTACATAACATAAACCCAAGAGTATTAAAGTATTAAAGTAAAGTATTAAAGTATTAAAATAGATAGAGACAGACAGACAGACAGATGATAGATAGATAGACAGACAGACAGATGATAGATAGACAGACAGACAGACGATAGATAGATAGACAGACAGACAGACAGACAGACTGAAATTTATAAAGTCTTCTCTATATTATTATGTCAAAAATCTAACCTGAAATGTGT